AGGAGCAGACTTGCAGAATGTGCCCTTTGGAGATGTAATTTATTATATATGCCTGAGTGGGTTTTTTTGTTTGTGTGTTTTTTTAAAAAGCTAAAGTGGATACAGAGAAATACTTTTAACTGATGGTATATGGAGGGGATTATAATCAATGTAATGAAACATGTTATATGAATTGTTGAATGTGAAACTGAGCATGTGCCCTGTAAACTGTCACTCAATCCACAATAAAAACCTTAAATTAAAAAAACAAGAAAAAAATACATTTTATCTTTTTAAAATAATAAAACATGATGAAAATTCTAAATGACAATTTTTACTATGTATAATATTCTCTATTTTATAGTGTTGCACTGTGGGTTAATGTGGACTGAAAGGTCGATGGGTCAAATTCGCCAGCTGCTCTTCGGAAACCCTATACAGGGTCACTATGAGGTGGAACCAACTGGATGCCATTTAACAACAACAATGTGCATCTTAGTATCAAATAAAGAAAGCCCAAGTGTGACTTGGTTATAACATTTACTTTTTAGACTTCTGGAGTGGCACTGTAGCATCAGCACTGGTGAACCACAAAGTCAGCAGTTCAAACCCACCTGTTGTTCCTCAGAAACCCAATACAGGGTCGCTATGAGTCGGAGTCGACTAAATGGCACTTTACCAACAACTGCATTAGTTGTTTTAGTTATTATATAAAAAGCTTAAAAAAATACCTTTCCCATTAAAAATAAATAGATATACACAACACTTGATTCGAGGTTCTTGTTTGAAGAATGTAGCATCTCACAAACTGGTGTTATCTTCAAAAGCAACTTCCTTCCATTCTGAAATATTTTGTTGAGCTTAAATACATTCCATTTTCTGTGAAAAACTCTAAATTTTTAACCTCCTGCATAACGGTATCTGATCCATTAAGCTTCTTTCAAATCCAAATTTCAATTGAGTCATTTTTCAAATTTTGTCACACTATAAAAATTGCTTCTATCCATGTAATTTCACAATGTTGTAGTTAGCACAACAAAAAAAAATTATTATAGTTTTGAATTTATTCTATAGAACACCTCATGATGAGGGAAATATGTTTTGTAGCCACACTTTTCAATATAGCAGAATAAGCACTAGACTGTGAACCATAAGGCTGGCAGCTCAAACCCACCAGCTGCTCCTCAGAAAACCTATATAAGAGTCATTATCAGTTGGAATTGATTCAACGGTACTTACAAGCATATATGTGACGTACTGAGCACCTGAAATGCAGTTTATAACTGAGGAACTTAATTTTAATTTTACTGTATCTTAATGAATTTAAATTGCAATATGGTGCTAGTGGTTGTTATATTCAACAGAGCAAATTTATAGACTCACTCTTTCAGTGAAGACTAAAATTCCACATTTACACCATACTTGCTTATTTTACAAAGGATTACTATAATCTAACAACTTTGTGAGTTTTGAATATATATTACCACCTCATTTTTATGAAAACTGAACCTCATTGAAGTTAAAATGAAGGATCCTTTCACTATCAACAAATGTTATGAAGTGCTGTCAAGTAAGTTCTGACTCACAGCAACCCTGTATAGGGTTTCCGAGGAGTAGCTGATGAGTTTGAACCACTAACTGCATGGTTAGCAGTCCAGTGCTCATCCTAGAGCACCACACCAGGGCTCTGATTACAGAATAGTTCATTCTTAAACTATGGAGTTAATAAACTACAGAGTCCTGGTGTGGCGCTGTGGGTTAATGCACTGGACTGCAAAGCCATCTGAACTGCAAAGTCGGCGGTGCAAGCTCACCAGCTACTCCTCGGAAACCCTATAAAGGGTTGCTATGGGTTGGAACCGACTCGATAGCACTTAAGAACAACACCACCAACAACAAAATTCTTAAACTCAGAACATTTAGAGAAGTACTAAAATAAAACCCAAGAAATAAATATAAAGTTAAAAAAAAAAATCTATGAAGTTCTGGTTCCACACTCACCTGCCTCATTTTAGCATGGATATAGAAGCAAGAATAACCCAGCTGAGAAATCTTCTTGGCTAGCAATTCAACTCGCTGAGAGGAGTTGCAGAAAATGATCGACTGATTTATCTGAAGCTAAACATAAGAAAAATAGGCATGAGAAAGAAATACAAAAAGCTTCATTTTGTATGCCAAATCTTGAAAATACTACCAAACATGAAACTTTTAAAACATGGACTACAGCAGCGCTGGGAGATGTCAGAACCATGGGCTGGATAAGGCCCTTGAAATCTTTTAGTCTGGTCCTGCTAAGACAACCACAGTTCCAGTCACCACATAATTTAAATGGTTGATCAAATATGGTAGGATAATTTTTAAGTTGATAATTTTGTATGGCCTGCAAACGATGTTATAAATTTTGGCAGAAAAAATATCCCCCAACCCCTGGTCTAAAATTTACAATCTCATAATACAGGAAAAGATGCAAACAGTGGTATATGGTCTTCTTTTACTCAGTTGTAGATAATAAGTTTTGTCATATTTTATAAGGGTCACATGATTGCCAACATCAATAAAGCAATGAAGGTCAAATTATACTAGAGTCTAATTAAAAGGGCCTAGTGTAGTGGTTACGAATTGGGCTGCTAATCTCAGGGTTAGCAGTTTGAAACTACCAGTTGTTCCAAGGGAGAAAGATGAGGCGTTCTGCTCCCATAAAGATTTACAGCCTCAGAAACCCTGTACAGGGTTGTTATAAATTGGAACCGATTCCATGGCACATAACAACAACAACAACAACAAATGGTTGATCAGTCATATCCTATCAACTTCAGATTAAGCACTGATACTGCCTTTCAGGAAAAATGGACTTTTTTTAGAGTGAAGATAATAGGAAAATTGATACAAATGTGTTTTATTAAGAGATAGACATTTAACAACTGAAGGAAATGACTTACCCTGGAGAAGAGTGTGTTGAGGCAGTGTACTTTTTGGCGCTCAGTTACATATGCGTAGTACTGGGTTACTCCCTTCAGAGTTAGTTCCTCCATCAGGTTAATTTCATATGGTTTTTGCAAATGGGAATTCTGGAAAAAGAAGTTTTATATTTAAAAGAGTATACTTTAGGCTCAAAATAGCTGCTTTTTTTCTGGTTACCTTGTGCATTGCTCTTCAAATCAAGTACAAATGATATAAGGGGACTTCAAAAAACTGGAAAAATGGATTTATAAGATAAAATATAAAATATTAACTGCAGAAAAATGGGCAGTATTTAGATATTTTTTTTTTAAGATCGGTAAACAAGTCAGAAGGAGTAAAATTAGAGGACTCTAAGGTGGATGCCTAACATGGTTTCCCATTGAAACTCTCTCATAATTGCCCATGTGTGATGAGAGGAGTGATAAGGAACACTGTCTAGGTGGAGAAGTTATCTTTGGTGACATTTTCCTGCTAAAGGTTTTATAAACTTTCTAGAAACACTCTCATAAGCAGATGAATCTTATCTTCTTTGACTCTTCAGAAAGTCAAAAAGCAAAATGCCTTGAGCGTCCCCCTAAACTGTTACCATGACTTTTGCTCTTGACTGTCCACTTAAAAAAACAAAAAAACAAAAAACTTTTTATTGTGAACTGAACCAAAGTTTATAGAGCAGACATCATTGGTTTTACATTCAACAAATCATAGTTTCATCTCAGTAATTACAGTATCAATGTATCATCACTTAATCCCATTTCCAGTATTTGTTTCCATTCCTCCTTCTTTCCAACCCTTCTGAAGTTTGCCTTTGGGTAAATGCTACCTTTTGATCTTGAATGGCTGACCATTCTATCGTGGTGCATACCTCACTAGTACTGCTGTTCCCCTATATACCTATCTATTTGTTGTTGTTACATGCTGTCCAGTTGATTCCAACCCATAGCAACCATGTATAGAGTTTATGAGGAGCAGCTGGTGAGCTTGAAGTGCTAACCTTGCAGTTCCAACGGCTTAGCTGTCTGGCGTATTACCTGGCTAAAAATTAAGCCATGGGGGTGAGTTCAGTTCCAGACCTGAAGGTAACCAAGGACCATAGTCTTGGGTTCCACCAGTATTCATTTGATCTGAAAGCATGGTGTTTTTCATGGTTTTGAATTTTGCTCTACATTTCCTCCCACACTATCCAGGACTTTCTAATGTGATTCCTTTCAGATATGTTGCTGGTTGTTGCTGGGTGTAATCTAGTTCTTCTGGTCTCAAGGACACAGAGACTGATGCTCACATGGTCCACTGGTTCATTAGATTGTTTCCTACCATCTTAAATTTTCTTCATTCTTGTTTGCTCGGGACAAAGAGTCCTCTATTTACACTTTAGATGGTTGGCTCATGAGCTTTTAAGATTCCAATAGCTACTCACCCAAAGTAAGATGCAGAATATTGTCTTTGTGGACTGTTATGCTAACTGACTATATAGTCTTGGGTTTTCCCAGACTATGCTAATAGGTCCATTTTTGCTTTGACTGGATCACTTATACTTCTTGGAAGCCATCGATTTCATTGTCCTTTGTTTTCAGGATTTTATTGGTAAAGCCATGTTTTATCTCCTGTTACAATTCTTCAAAGAAATGCTTCAGGATCTTGTTGTCACATATTTAAAACTTCCACTGACGAGCCTTCAGCTAATCTGGCCACGACAGCTTTGGCACCCACTGAGTAGAAAGTTTGCTCAATTTTCCAGATTGTGTAAACTGGATGAATTGAAATGTCTATGGTGTTGGCTATTGTCTGTGCCATTTGTCATCTTCAATTGTTGTTGTTGTTAAGTGCTGTTGAGTTGGTTCCAACTCACAGCTAACCCGTATAGGGTTTCTGAGGCTTTAAATCTTTGAGGGAGCAGAAAAAGCCTCAACTTTCTCTCTTCAATTAGGGGGAAAAAAAAAAGATTAATTTTTATCCTCACAAATTTATGTGGATGGCCTGTTGCTGCAAGCTTCAACATTGTCTCATCCCCTCTTAAAACACGTTATCCATTTGTAAACCAATTTCTTTGGGGCACTGTTCTTATAAACTTTTTGTACAGCATCAATGACATCACCATTATTCCACCTAAGCCTCACCATAAATTTAATGTTTATTCTTGGCTTCAATGTTGCTTTGGTAGGGGTGCTTTCCAACCTGATGTTTTATCTGTCTTAGTGTCTCAAACTAGATCCTGTTTAGACACGTTATAGTTAGTATGATTTTTATTTGGTGCCAAAAAATATATATAATTCCATACAGCTTTTTCATAATGTGTTTTCCATGAACTTTTTGAAGACTCCCTTGTATCATTAAAGAAATAAATATGAGATCGCAAATACAATTAAGTATTTAAAATAGACTCTGCACACAGAATTTATATAATAATCAATTTATCTAGAATCAAAGGCTGAATCAGTTTGACAAGTTAAGTGAACAATTTAGTCAAATTACTGTTAATAGCTTCTAAAATAATTTATACACACAAATCTTAACTCATCAGCTGAAGAAAAAGCCTAAAACTTATTAAGTATGACGTTTACAGGCAGTTTCTTTTATGACAAAGCAGACTCACAACTGATTTGTTTTGGGTATATATCTTACTGTTAGTAATATGTCTGTAGGTTTCTATGTAATGTTTCTGACCCCCAAAGATAAACGAAGATTTAAGTAGACACTGACGATAAAAGGTAATAATAATAAATAAAAAATCAAGGTATTTGACTTACATAAGAACTGACTCAAGACAGAGTTGTCTTATCATCTTAAGTTGGGACTACCTGTAAATTGATTATAAGATGTCAAAAGGAAACATGCTGGAGCTTGCAAGTACAGATTTATACTCACCATGAACTTTTGTACACTAAGAGGGAAAGTAGCAGAATATAGTAAAATCTGCCTGTTTTTAGGTAGCGTGAGAATAATATCCTCCATTATCTGTACAAAATCCTGTGACAGCAACTTATCCGCCTGCAGTACAAAGAGTAAACAATTTTAAAACAATAAAATAAATGTTGAAGATCTTTGGTTAATGTATGGCTAGAAAATAAGGCATCACTGAGCAACATCATCTATGAAATGCTCTTGGTTATGAGCTGAAAGTCCTCTAAAACACTATATAGTGTTACAATCAATGACACCACGACAAATTCCCAGTGGTTTGAAAACTAAGCATCAGATAGAAAAGTCTATAAAGTCTATAATCCTCAACTTCTAGGATGGACAAAAAAAAAAAGCCTTATGCAGACATAACCCTTGTTCCCATAAGAGAATTTAAATCATTTATGTATGATTTCCATTAAAGAGGCAAAAACATGGCATATTGATTAAAAGCACCAAGTTATAAGGTTAAACTAGCACTTAAAAGTGTGAGCACATAGTGATTAGCGTTACTATGCAAAGATAAAAGTCTGATATGAATCAGACCAAGATCAACCTTAAATTACCGACCAAATGGAAAAATAACTTTACTTCAAAACAAAGAGACTTCAAAAAGTTCGTGAAAAAGGTCCATTCCAGTTTCCCACAAACTTTTGAAGCCCCTTTGTATGTATAAAACACTGCTAGCTCCTGAAGAAACAAAATTCAGTAAGATATTTAAGGTACTTACAACCTCTTAAAGGTAATACATATAACAGAGACTCAAAACCAAATAATACAATGTAGTATATTCTAAATGGGGAAGGAGAGGTATTAGATACTGCATGCTTTTTGAGGTATATCAATGAATGGAAAGAGACTTATATTAAGCACATGACTTATTCAGGAATTCCTTTTTGAGAAGTCAAAATAAAATCCAGATTACTTGTATTCCCTAAGTAAAAAGGTAAGGCTGAACCCCTATGAATGTTTATCATCTATTGCCTCTGAAGAACAAGACATGTTTTATAAGAAAATTGGTTAGAACTGCCAAAAGTTGTATTTATTAATCACGAACACAATTTCTCCTTCATTCACTAGCAATCATAAGCAAAGCACAAAATAGTAAAAATCAGTATCTTTCCAAATGAAGAGAGACATTACCTCATCCAATACTATCATCTGGACATGATCAACCTTTGCTACTCCTTTCTTGATAAGATCCAGGATTCTCCCAGGGGTAGCTATCACCACATGTACTACACATAAGATATAGAAAACACATGTTCTCATTAACTTAAGCAAAAAGAATATATTAAATTTGAATCATGTATTTGTTACCAGAAACTTTGCTGCAGAGATAGAAGTTAACACGGAGGCACAAAGATCTATTTTCACTTCACTTAAAATTGGCAAGAGAATACTTGCTTTTTTTATCTCTACACTGGGTGGTGGTGGTGGTTGCTGTTAAGTGCTTTTAGCTTTCTAAGTTACTTGTTGCAACACGGGGAAGGCTTACTTTCCTGTCTTAGGTCAGTCTCCAATGAATAATGGAAGACAGATCAAGCCTCTGACACAATAGAAATATCTCTAATCTATAGTAACAATCTCCAGAAAATTATTAGAAGGATCAAATAAGAAATATTTCAAAGAACTGTGCAATATCAAAGAATTTATGAAGTAATTCAAGTAACCAAGTAACTATTATACAGATCTTCAATTTCATACATATTTTTTACAGTCTCATTATCTTCTTTTTCACTCAAAACAATACCATGGAAGTCTCTCCATGAAAACTAATACAGATCAGACAATTTCTTCTGACAGTATGTTTTCAAGTACTATAAACCAAACTGTAGTAAACAGGCTTGTATATAGTATTGCACTTGTCCAATTATTTCTTTAAAATGTTTTTGAGTACATGTTTTTAAAAATTTGAAATATACTGCCAAACTGCCAACCATAGGGAAAGTATCAATTTACACTTCCATGTAGCAAGAGGACCCATTTCTTTACAAACTCAAATTAGTTATTAATACTTTTTAGCCTTACCAATTAGAAAGGCACAATTAATACCAATTTACTGTTTATATTTACATTTCTTTATTAACTAGTAAGGAAGACTATCCTTTCAAGTATTACTATTAATTTGTCTCTCCCTACTGCCTTTAAGTGCAGTTCAAACCCACCAGATGCTCAGTGGAAAAAAGATGAGGCTTTCTGTTCCCGTGGAGATTTATAGCCCTGGAAACCCTTTAAAGGGTCGTTATGAGTCATAATCAATTTGATGGCAGTAAGTGACTTCCTTGGATAAGCATTCATTTTTCTATAGCAGTGTTTCTCTGTTCTGTATTAATTTTTAATAAGTTACAAATGAAGCATGTGCTACTAAAATGACACTAAGCATTATAACACCTTATATTGGTAATTTCTTACCTGTGTCATCAAGCCTCATTATATCATCCCGTAAATTGGTTCCTCCAGTAGTTGCCATCACTTTGGCCCCTCCCATGTGTTTGCTGACCTGGATGCAAATTTGACTGACCTGTAGAGCAAGTTCTCTAGTAGGAACAATCACCATTGCTGGAAAATATCAAGGAACAGGGAAAAAAAGAACATGTTATATTTTGTAAGATCTGGATACTGAGAAATATTAAAATGTTGAATCATTAATATGCTTGCCAGATTTTTTTAAAAAAGCAAATGAACAAATTTTTCTTAAAGAATCTATATACTGTTCTGTTCACTGGTATCTGGTTCATTGGTCTCTCACTGTCTGCGCACCTCTATTCTGGTGACTAGAGGGGATACCTGAGCAAATGGACACCCACCCCTGGAGGATTCTACTATGCAATGTAAAAGAATAGAAACAACCTTAGGGAGGCAGTGAGTTGATGGGAGGATGAGATTAGCTGTTGAAGTTAAAGAATAAAGTAATCAATGTCACTGAACTATTTGTGCAGAAAATTGAATTGGTGTTATTTTCTGCAACAAAAAGAAAAACAAAAACTTAAATGGTATTAAACTGGTTATTAGGAGTCCTGGTATGGAGCTGCAGGATAATGTGCTGGACACCATAAGATCAGTTTGAACTGCAAAGTGGCAGTTCAAATCTACCAGCTAACTCCTTGGGAAACCTATATATGAGTTGGAACTGACTTGTTGGCACATAACAACAACCTGATATTGATATTTCTAAGATGTTCAAATTCATTAGCTTAATAGTAAGACTGCACCATCTACTCAACTAGGAAATGCTTTCACAGGTTCTACTTATTTGAAAACAAGCAATTTGAAATTGGGAAAAGCAAAAATTACTGATCAAGAAAAATTAAAATTCATTAAGGAACTCAAGAAGTGAAATTTTAATTCTCTAAGTTTATTCACACTGGTGGTTGCTGTTAAGTGCTATAGAGTTGGTTCTGACTCATAGTGACTCCATATAGGGCTACTGAGACTTTTAAAAAGTTTTTGTAGAAGCAGAAATCTTGTCTTTCTCCCATGAAGTGGTTGGTGGACATGAACTGTTGACCCTGTGGTTTGCAGTCCAGCGTTTATTCTTAGGGTACAAGTCAGGAAATCTTTTTCTTGCCTATTGTCTAAGCTATTAAAATCTCCAAGCCATAAGCCTTTAAAAAACAGAAAAAGTTCTCCTTTTGATTAAAGACTCAATAGAAGAATCCTGATCAAGAGGCAGCAAAATGTGGAACACTCTCATAGAACTGACTTTCTGGAGTCATTGAGGCTAGATGATCCCTAGAAAATATTGCCAAGATAACCTTAAAACACCTTATTAAAATAAAATGATTCCCTGAAGTCACCTTTAAACCAAATAACAATTCAGCTTAATTAGTGAAGAATGGTTTCAACATTGCTTTTTTAAAGAATTACTTATATGGGATCAAATTGACATTTTAATTTGAAAGGGTAAATGAGAAGCTAAGAGGATAGTGAGTTTATTTTAATGGCAGTAGGGTAATTTGGAAAAGGACAGCAAGAATGGTTGTACAGCTCAAAGAATGTCATCAATGTCACTGAACTGTACATACGGAAAATGATGACTTGGTCTATGTTTTACTATTCATATCTTTACCAAAATATTTAAATTATTAAAAGAAATCTATATATCATGTTTCTAGTACTGTCAGTTTGTTGTACTGTGGTGGTTTGCATGTTGCTGTGATGCTGGAAGACATGCCACTGGTATTTTAAATATCAGCAGGATCACCCAAGGTAGACAGGTTTCAGTTGAGCTTTCAAACGAAAACTAGGAAGGAAGCCAAGAAATACTTTTGAATGTTTAGCCACTGAGAACCTTATAAATAGCAGCAGAATACTGTCAGCACCAGAATACTCAATACTGAAACATTTTGAATAGCACAAGAATATTGTCGAACACAGTGCTGGAAGATGAGCCCTTCAGGTTGGAGGGCACTCAAAATATGACTGGGGAAGAGCTGCGTCCTCAAAGTAGAGTTGACCAGAATGACATGAATACAGTTAAGCTTTTGAGGCTTTCATGTGCTGATGGGGCACAATTCAAAGTGAGGAGAAACAGATGTAAATGTCTACTAATAACTGAAACATGGAATGTATGAAGTACGAATCTAAGAAAATTGGAAGTTGTCAAAAATGAAATGGAGCGCATAAAGATGGATATTCTAGGCATTAGTGAACTGAAATGGACTAGCATTGGACATTTTGAATCTGATATGGTTTACTATGCCAGGACGAAAAATTGAAGAGGACTGGCACTGCAGTCATCATCAAAAAGAATATCTCATACGACTGTTATTCGAATGTGAGCATCAACCATTAAAGCCAGTGGTGATGATATTTAAGAATTCTACCAACTTTTTTAGTCTGAAATTGAGCAAACATGCAACCAGGATATACTGATAAATACTGGTGACTGAAATGCAAAGTTTGGAAACAAAGAGGAAGGATCAGTAGTCGGAAAATACGGCTTTGGTGATAGAAATGAAGCTGGAGAGTGCTGACAGAATTTTGCAAGACCAATAATGTATTCATTGCAAATACCTTTCTAAAACAACATAAAAGCAGAACCTTTTCAAAAGATGGAATACACAAAAAACAAACTGACTGTACCCATGGGAAAAGACAGTGGAAAGCTTCATATCATCAGCCAAAACAAAGGTAGGATCAAGCCATCAATTGCTCATATATAGTTTAGGCTGAAGCTGAAGAAAATGGAAACAAGTCCACAAGAGCCAAAATAGGAACTCTGAACATTTTCCATCTGAATTGAAATCTCAGGAACCTATTTGATGGATTAGACATTAACGACCAAAGACCAAAAAAGTTATGGATGACATCAAGAAAACCAAAGGTCTTTAAAGACAAGAAGAAAAAGACCAAAACGGATGTCAGAAGAGGCTCTGAAACTAGCTCTCCAGTGTAGAGATGCCAATGCAAATAAAAAAAGAAAGTAAAAGAGCTGAGCAGAAATTTTCAAAGGGCAGCTTGAGTAGGCATTATAATGAAATAGGCAAAGACTTGGAGTTAGAAAACCAAAAGAACACACTCAGCATTTCTCAAACTAAAAGAATGGAAGAAAAAATTCAAGCCTTGAATTGTAATACTGAAGGAGTCCATGGGCAAAATACTGAACGATTCAGAAAGCATCAAGAGAAGATGCAAGTAATACAAAGATGTCACTGTACCAGAAAAAAATAGACGATGTTCAAACATTTCAAGAGGTTGCATATGATCCAGAGCCAATGGTACTGAAGGAAGCAATCCAAGGTGTGCTGATGGCATAGGCAAGGTTCCAGGAACTGATGCAATACACAGTGAAATCTTCCAACAAACTGATGAGGCACTGGAGTCACTCACTCATCTATGCCAAGAAACTTATAAGACAGCTACCTGTCCAACTGATTGGAAGAAATCCATATTTTTTGCCCATGCCAAAGAGAGGCGACTGAATAGAATGGGGACATCATCTGACAATTAGTATCACAGGCAAGTAAAGTTTGCTAATAAAGATAGATGTTTGCAAGAGTACATTGACAGGGAACTGCCAGAGGTTCAGGCTGGATTCAGATAAGGACATGGAAAGAGGGATATCATTGTTGGCACCATATGGATCTTGGCTGAAAGCAGAGAATACCAGAAAGAATACCTGTGTTTTATTGACCATGCAAAGGCTTTTGACTGTGGATCACGACAAACTATCAAGAACATTATAAATAATGGGTATTCCAGAACACTTAATTGTAACTCATGAAGAACCTGTACATAAATGGCAGTGGTTTGAACGTAACAAGGGGACACTGAATGGCTTAAAATCATGGAAGGTGTGCGCCAGCTTTGTATTCTTTCATCATACCTATTCAATATGTATGATGATCAAATAATCCAAGAAGACAGATTATAACATTGTCAAAGACTTCATTTTGCTTCAATTTGCTATCAACACTCATGGAAGCAGCAGCCAAGAGATCAGATGTATGGCATTAAGCGAATCTTCTGCACAAGACCTCTTTAAAGTGTTCAAGAACAAAGACGTCTCTGACCCAAGCCATAGTATTTTCAGTAGCCTCATATGCATGTGAAAGTTGGACAATCAATAAAACCACAGAAAAATTGATGCATTTCAATTACAGCGTCAGAGAAGAATATTAGCTATATCATGAACTGCCAAAAGAACAAATAAATCTGTGTTGGAAGAAGTACAGCCAGAAAATGCTCTGTACTCACACTTCAAACATATTATCAGGAGGGACTAGTCCCTAGAGAAGGACATCATGCTAGGTAAAGTAGAGGGTCAGCAAAAAAGAGGAAGACCTCCAACAAGATCAATACACACAGTGGCAACAGCTATGGGATGAAGTGTAAGAATTGTGAGGTTGGTGCAGGACCAAGCAATATTTTGTTCTGTTGTAAATAGGGTTGCTCTAAATTGGAACTGACTCAACGGCATGTAACAACAACATATATCATGTTAATTTACTTTAAAAACAAAATCTTTTTACAAAATGAAAGGGAACATCTTTATTTTTATAAAGGTAATCAAAAACTGTGAAAAGAAAGTGTAACTATTAATTTCAGATTATGTAAATTCTAAATACAAAAAGATAACACATTGTACATAACTCAGAAGTTTAAATTACCACTTTTAGTTAAAAAAAAAAATAAAAACCTTACTTCAACTAACCTTGTATATTGTCCTTCTTCAGGTCTAGCCGTTCAAGTAAGGGAATGAGGTAGGCACCGCTCTTGCCGGTTCCATTTTTTGCTCTAGCTAAAATATCCCTACCAGATAAAGCAATGGGAATACTCTCCTCCTAAAAGAGACAAGATAACACAAAATGCTTTGTGAATTAAAAAAAGTACATAAGCAAATTCTTCTCTGAAATACATTTTGAAGTGCTTGACATTTATATGCAAACCAGGTAAATTAGTAGGAATTGTCAACTTTATCTCTATTAATATTTACTAGAACTGCTCACAGATTTTAAACTGTATCCTGATGTAACAAAAAATGTGTGCAAATGAGTGAATGTGGTATAGTTGTCAAGCACCAACACAGGGGATGTGGCTTAAAGAAAGTGGAAGAACTTGGACTGAACCAGAAAAAATGGGATTTGAATACATGGAGAAAAAAAGAAAGGTCATTTTCCAATTAAAAATTGGAGAAAATAGTATAAACAAACAATATATGGTAGTCTGAGATTAGTAAGCCAATTTGACTGCAGTGAAAAAGTATAGTTTAGTCAAGTTAATTCTTGCACAAGGCAAGAATATGCTGGAAAAGTTTAATATTTGACATATTAACCCCCAATGTCTATGTGTCACAGCCAACTTCTTTGCCTGAAATGTACACAAGTTCTGTGCCAGTATAAAAATGGCAAGGCAGAGTCAACTGATCTCTTCTAACTTCACAAGGGGGAGAGAATCACCATCAGTACTAGATCAAGACTGATTTTTATGAAGTGGGAGGCAAACATACTTCATTTCTCTGTAACTTTATGAATTCTGACATTAGCTGTCCCTTCAATGGAATTCTCTATTTCTCTGCTGAGTTTGAGAATTTGCTACAATGACCACACCAGAAGTCATTGACCATATTCACAATTATAGGTATATTAGGGCAGTAACAGGTTACAATTTAGGATCAGGAATAATTCAAGATATATATATATTTCAGTTATGCAATTAGGATAGCCTCTTTTCAGTCATACCTGCAAGCAGGCCTCTCTCAGCTTGGCCTCTGTCCTGTGCAGACAAATTTTATAATGTTCTTCAGCTCTGCCAATAAATGCCTACAGGCACCTCACTACCCCAGGAAACCTGCCTGAAGTGAGTGCTCAGCTCTCGCACTCCATCGGTCAGTAAACCTTGCTATATCAACAAGTGCTCAGAGGAATTGCACTATGCTAGAAAGTCTCCTGCTGGAAGGCTCTCCACTTTCCACTTTCTCGCTCTGTGGGGTCAGCACACCTGCTTAGGCTGGGAAGCTTACTGCGTTATCTCATGCTGGTATCCCGCAGCTGTTTCTCTGCAACCATTTTGTGCTGTCTTCGGTGTTACAATTCTCTTATCCTGGGTCTAAGAGGGTCTCAGTTTATGAACTGGGTCTAAGATACACTCCACCAGCTGCTTCTCAGAAACCCTAATCAGGGTCGCTGTGAGGCAGAAGTACTAGTGTGGTGCTGTGAGCTAATGCGTCAGACTACAAAGTTGTATGAACTGCAAGGTTGGTGGTTCAAGCTTACCAGGTGCTCCTTGGAAATCCTATACAGGATCGCTATGGGTTGGAATCGACTCGACGTCACTTGACAACCACCACCACCACCACCACCACCCAGTCATCTGATGGGAATTACATGGCGAGAAAGCCCTATAAAAAGTATCCATTGTACTTTAGTTGGTCACCCCAATCCACTATCACATCACTTAGGGTAGTGTCTCATTTTCTTATTTTAGCTTACTTTATCATGTGTGTTTTGCCGAGTAGTTATCAACCCAATACAAATGTCCTAGACAGCAGCAAAGAATTCATAAAAGTTACCGAAAATTTAATACACATAATCAAAAGGAAAAAAATATAAAAGAAAAAGCCAAACCCATGGCCACAGAGATCATGACTCAGAGTGACCCTGTAGAACAGAACAGGACTACTCCTTAGTTTCTGAAACTGTCAATCTTGAAGGGAGCAGACAGCCTCATCTTTCTCCCATAAGCAGTTAATGGGTTTCAATCATTGACTTTGTGTTTAGCAACCCAACACTTCAACAACTGTGCCACCAGGGATCCTTTAAACACCCACATACAGAGATGAATTTAAAAAGGTGAATAGGTAATAATAGGAGCAAACAGACATATATGCAATGGACAGATATATGCAATGGACAGCCTCCCATTCAAAAGACATTCCAGTCACTTAGTAACAGGTTTCCCTCTTTATGACAATTTAAAAATCTGAGTTTGAAAAGGATATCAGGAGACAATTTAGGAGGATATTTCATATGGAAGAATTAAGGTGAATTTAACACTCTGAAAAGTGTTAAAACAAAAAATAGTCTGTAATTCTACGTAATAACCAGGCTGCTACCTAATCCTTTGGTCACATAACAACAAAATAAACTCCACTGGCACTCCAAATTTAACTTTATTGACCAGCTGGATAGTAGGCCTCTTCACTTCTACTTCTAAAGCTTAACATAATGATTCAATGAAGTAATTATATTTCAGAAACAAACAGGAGAACTATCAGACTCTAGGTTATCATTTTTGTAAGTTGGCTCACATTAGAAGAGAGGAATAATTACTCCCAAACTCAAAATTCTTACAAGGATCAGACAAATCTGTTCGTGTTACAACAAAGGATTGGGCCCTAACTCAAACTAGTAATTTTGAAGCCTATGTCTTGATAAGAAAGAAAAGACAATGGCAACAGCTTAGTATAAGTTACAAAGGCAGCCGTTGCTGCTCCAAATTCCTTTACACCAAACACCTGGAAACCACTTTTCACAGATTTTCTGGTAAAGAATTTCAGCCCTTCTCATGTTAAAAGTTAAAAAACCATGAGAAACATTTCAGATAATGATTTTAAGAGGAAACGTTTTCAAAGTTACTAACAAATAAATTTCTAAAAGTAATAAAGCAGATTCTTAAAAAAGTCTGTATGTTGTCAGTTTGTGAATCCTATACATTAAAGACAAACTACAGCTATTAAATAAAGTAGCCAAAGGTATTTCTGCTTCCAGAGAGGCATTATCATTCCTTACAATGAACCACAAGATGGGCATTCTGAGTCCACCAGCTGCTCCAGGGGAGAAAGATGAGGCTTTCTGATCTTGCAAGCCTAGGAATCCCTGTACTGGGTCAATATGAGTTGGAACTAACTCGATGGCACTTACCAATAACCACCACCACCACCAGAGAATAAGAGAAAAACAACAGATTCAGGGCCATCTGAATTATTAGTCTTCCTTATGGTAGGCAAATATTGGACTAGGGCTGAAAGTAGGAGCATAGTACAGATATGACACTAGTAAGAATCATAAAGAATTTGCAACCTGGTTTTTATCATTAATCCCTTGACATGCAAATGAAATTCCACATATATTTAATACACAAATATAATATTTTTCAGCATGTGTTTTTACATTTCTAAATGTGACAACTTATTGTCCGTCTGTAAAGGTCACTTTAGAAATACTTTTTAAAGGTTGGTTTTCCTTCAACATCTTCCATAAAATTCATAATAAAAGGGAGGTAAGATTGTTTCTTTTAGCTTCAAAGCATAGAAACTTTTGCCAATCATTACTAAAATACAAATTGATGTATATGTTCTAATGATGGTAGATCAGTATTGTCATGTTTAAAAGGATTTACTGAATGGTTCAGTTTCCTACTGTGCAAAGTGCTTTTATAAGTTGACAAAATACACTATGACACTGAAAAATGGTCACCCTTGTTATGGAAGAAAAGATCACAAAACCAGAATTCTGTGTTAACCCTTTCATGACGGGTGGTATATATATTGCCCATCAACACTGTCAGCCTCCCAGTTCTTGGAAAGCTATTATTCCAGCTGCAGCACATGCTGCTATCTGGCAAGGGCCTGTATAACTGCATGAATCTGAAGAAATGGGCCTCATTTCACCAATGCTACAACCAGAGTCCACTTGGGACATATACAATGTATGTATATCCCGCATAAAACTGTATAACATTACTGGAAAAAAAAAAATTCCCTTGATTTCAGCATGCCTTTCATTACTGTAAACATACTGTTATCAACAAAAAATTCAAAGCAGAAAATAATTCAGTCATGAAAGGGCTAGAAATAATGGATATCTTTAAAAAACCTTTAAAAAAGCTGAAAAATGCTATTCACTGAATCACAAGTGTTTTGTTGACACTAACAAAACTGTAAGGAAAGTCCCAGTCATTCACCTGTCTGACCTGGAAGTTAAAACATGGGTGAATGAAAAAAAAAAAACACACACAAAAAACTAAATGATGCCCAGTTTTCACTATCAACCGCTTCAGAAAGGGAACACATTAGAGGGTCCTGGACAGACTGGAAGAAAATGTGGAATAAAACTCCAAAAAAAAAAAAAAGATTGGGTTTACTGGTCAGAAAGACTGGAGGAACCTGAGACTACCCTTCATGTCTGCAAAGGAACTTACTCCCTGTGGTTTAATTTTCAGCCAAGCAGTAGACAGATACATGGGGGAAGGCTCACCATGAAATGGTCAATCATTCAAAATAAAAAAGGTAACATTTGCCAAAGGATTAAGTTGAGAAGGGATGGGAAGGTGGGTAGAACGCAAATGGGAAACACAGGCAGGAAAGCAGGCTAACCAACTGTTGTTGCATGGAGGGGATTGTAATCATTGAGATGAAACAAAGTATATGATTTGTTGAAAGTAAAACTGCCGATTATGTCTGTAACTTCACCCAACTCACAATAAAAAGTAAAAGACACTGATAGGCACTTTTTAATTTTTTAAACTAAAAAATTATGAAAATAAATTAGAAAACAGATTCACTTCCACTGATATCATTAATTCCTCCTATGCCTGGGCTAATGGTCGTAAGAAATGTTTCTAGCACTTTAAGCTGTTATTGAAGAAATTTTCACATTGTAGCATTATGATAACCATTTATATTCTACCTATATGACATTCATTCTAAAGACAAACTCAAGTGTAGGGGTCAGATGGGTTTTTCTGTATGGTCAGAACAGCTTTAAGAATTCTGACCAAAGAAAACATTCCAGAGATAATATTCTGTTATCTTGTACCTACCAAATCCCAAATCTAAACCCAC